CGGACTGACCATTTGGAAACTCGGGCACTGCCTGAGGGCCTGGGGTCAGTAGGGGGCCCCATGAGATGCCCCTGGTACCTTTTTCATAGGCGTTTTTGAGTTTGGGCAAGGATACAGGGGCCCCATGATCCCCTATTGCCCGGGGGCCCCATGAGTTGTCAGTCCACCCCTGATATACAGTACTATATATTCTACTATACATAAAGGGAGTACTGTACACATGTATAACAGGTTTCATATACAGTACATTGTATATTCTCTATACATACAGCAGGTGCTGTATACCTATGAATCTGTGCAGTATTGTTTGTGGTACTGAATTCATGTATACCAAACATGGACATTATTGTAGTTTACAAGTGATAATTGTGTAAATATCAAGTTTTCCAGAAATGAAGGCATGTTAAAAGAAAAATAAACCCAAACACTGACATTTCAAATAATCTTCAACAGGGTAACTTCATTTCAAAAGTGATTTCCATTACGAAAGAGCTAAACTTACTTGGGTTCCATTGGAGGCAGGTTTGGCGAACAGAAGTTTGGGTGCTGAATCCACACTTTTACTGAACTGAAGTCAGTGGGAGCTGTTCTGTCCCACCACCCATGGCATTATACCTTAATTGAAATCCACAAGACCCCTGACCTGTCCCAACACACATGACATCATACCTTGACTTACAGGCCAGTAGACTCCTAATATGTCCCACCACCCATGATGTCATACCTTGACTGACAGTCAAAGAGACTCCTGATCCATTCTTCTATACACGACATCATACCTTGACTTACAGTCCGGGAGACTCTTGATTTGTCTCTCCACCCATAACACCAAACCTTGGTTGACAGGCCAGGAGGCTCCTGATATGTCCCTCCATCCATGACATCATACCTTGACTGACAATACAGGAGACTTCTGATCTGTCCCACCACCTATGATGTCATGCCTTAACTGACAGTCAGAGAGGCTCCTGATCCGTGCTTCTACACACAACATCATACCTTGACTGACAGTCCAGAATACTCTTCATTTGTCCCTCCACCCATAACATCAAACTTTGGTTGGCAGGCTAGGAGACTCCTGATCTGCCCCTCCACCCATGACATAATACATTGACTGACAATCCAGGAGACTCCTGATTTGTCCCTCTACCCATGACATTATACATTGACTGAAAGGCCAGAAAACCTCTAATCTGTCCCTCCACCCATGACATCATACATTGACTGACAGTCCAGGAGACTCCTGTTCTGTTCATCTACTCATGACATTATACCTTGATTAACAGTCCAGGAGACTTGATTTGTTCCTCGACCCATGACATCATATTTTGACTGACAATCCAGGAAACTCCTGATGTGTCCCACCACCCATGACATCAAATCTTGACTGACAGGCCAGAAGACTCCTGATCTGTTCCTGTACCCATGACATCATATCTTGACTTACAAGTCAGGAGGCACTTGATTTGTCCAACCACCCATGACATCATACCTTTGGGTGGGATATCCTGCTGACACTTTAGTGTTTTTTGTAAGTGGCGCTTTTTTCTTTTTTAATTTGGTACCCATGACATCATGCCTTGATTCACAGTCCAGGAGATTCTTGATTTCTCCCGCCACCCATGACATCATACCTTGATTGACAGTCCAGGAGATTCTTGATTTCTCCCGCCACCCATGACATCATACCTTGATTGACAGTCCAGGAGATTCTTGATTTGTCCAACCACCCATGACATCATACCTTGATTGACAGTCCAGGAGATTCTTGATTTCTCCCGCCACCCATGACATCATACCTTGATTGACAGTCCAGGAGATTCTTGATTTCTCCCGCCACCCATGACATCATACCTTGATTGACAGTCCAGGAGATTCTTGATTTGTCCAACCACCCATGACATCATACCTTGATTGACAGTCCAGGAGATTCTTGATTTCTCCTGCCACCCATGACATCATACCTTGATTGACAGTCCAGGAGATTCTTGATTTCTCCCGCCACCCATAACATCATACCTTGATTGACAGTCCAGGAGATTCTTGATTTGTCCAACCACCCATGACATCATATCTTGATTGACAGTCCAGGAGATTCTTGATTTGTCCCACCCCCCATGACATCATACCTTGATTGACAGTCCAGGAGATTCTTGATTTCTCCCACTACCCATGACATCATTCCTTGATTGGCAGGCCAGGAGACTCCTGGTGTGTCCCTCCTCCCATGACATCATACCTTGATTGACAGTCCAGGAGATTCTTGATTTCTCCCACCACCCATGACATCATTCCTTGGTTGACAGGCCAGGAGACTCCTGGTGTGTCCCTCCTCCCATGACATCATACCTTGGCTGACAATCCAATAGACTCCTGATCTGTACCTCCACCTATAACATAATATATTGACTGGCAATCCAGAAGACTCCTGATCTGTCCTTCACCCCGCTGGCCCCTCTCATCAGTCACGATCTGCCTGCATTGCATAGAGAAGCACAGAAACCCAGCGATGCCATAAATATGTAATGAAAACAGAAAGGTTTTATTAAAAACCATCATTAGCATGCTGCTAAGCAGGGAAAGGAAGGAAATCAAAACATAAGCAGCTTAAACTTCAGCTTTAACCTTAAAAATAATAAAATATGCAAACGTCCTGACATAAGCCAGGCAGAGACGACTAATCTGTAAATGAACAGGAAAAAAGGGGAAACAATATTAATCTCCTGAAATCATTCGAGCGAGACAAACCTGATCCGGTTTTCTGCCTTAGTTGCATGCATTTCCATAGACTCCATGGAGGGCTGGCTGTGGTGTAGATATGATACGCAGTGACAATATTAACCTCCATAAATTGTGTGACGATAATGAGACTTCTCACAAGTCATTTTCCTCGAGAGTTCAACAAACAGATCAATGTGCGGGGAGCGCACAGATCCTATTACTGCCGAGAGAGGAACTGTCAGAGGACCAGTGCTACATGTGTCATGTGTAATCATTATCACCGCCTGTCACAGGCCGCAATCAGGATCTAATCGGCCCGAAGATTGCCGGGACTGGCGGCATCTCACGTGCCTTTATAAACCGGTTCCTTCAGTCCCTAGAAAAATAAAACAAATCCCCACCGGGCCATTGAGGTAAAGTCGACCTATCATCAGATATATTGTTTCATGATAAATCCATGCATGCAATGTAATGTGTCAGCGTAACACTTCCAGGTATGTATTACCTCTCATAGACATCACAGTACTCAATGCCTTTATCTGCTCTTCCCTTTGGAAAGATGGTGCGATTTTTGTTCAGGCGTCATCACGCAGGGCCGGGAAAAGGGGTGGGCAAAAGGGGCGGCTGCCCTGGGCACTGTGGTATCATGTAGGGGGGGGGCACCATGAGGAGATTGGGGTGAGGGGTATTTGTGTTGGGAGAGGGAATCTGGGGGGCAGCATAGGGTAAGAATTTTTCTAGGAGGGGAAATATGAGGGAAGGGGTGCTAGGAGTGGTGATTTGGGGGGATGTGTGTTTGGGGGGGGATTTGCGCTAGCAGGGGGGATTTGGAGGGTTGTGCTAGAAAGGTGACATGGTAGAGGGGAAGGGGATGTGTGATGGTAGGGATAATTGGGGGGTATTTGTGCTAGGAGGGGAAATTTGAGGGGGGTTTGTGCTAGGATGGGGGATTGGGGAGGGAATTTGTTCTGGGAGGGGGATTTGAAGTGGGGGGGGGTTATGCTTGGAGCGGATATCTGAAAGGTAGAGGATTTTTGCTGGAGGGGATGGGGGTCAAAGGTTTGTGCTGGGAGGGGGGATTTCAGCAGGGGGGCAGATTTGTACTGGGAAGAGGGGGGATTTCTGCTTAAGATTTTTTCGGGGGAGGGATGTTCATCCTGGGCTCTAAATAATGTTGTCCTGGAACTTCACCCTTTAAGTTGGACTTCCTCGACTAAGATTTTGACTCACAGTCATGTTAATTTTGGTGTCTGTGCCTGTGTGTTCAAAAATGTCTGACACAGATCAGACCCTCTCACCTTGTGTCTTGCTACAAGCAAGGTACAGTCTGATCACTGGGGGAGGGGAGATTGCGGAAATGCTTCCTCCTGCCTTCTACAAAGGTATAATGTACAGTCTGACCACTGGGGGAGGGGAGACTGGGGAAATGCTTCCTCCTGCCTTCTACAAAGGTCCAATGTACAGTCTGACCACTGGGGGAGGGGAGACTGGGGAAATGCTTTCTCCTGCCTGCCAAGTAGACTGATGACTTAATCTCTGCCTAGGCAAATTCACTGACTGGAGATCAAGAATGGCTTTTAGTGATAAAAGATGGAGCTTTTTTTGGCATAATATACTATTGGTTTATTGTCAGGGTCCTGTCCACGGCAGGAGATCTGGAAGATCTGGCATTTCTGCCAGTACTCTACATGGCCGCAGAAGTACACATCAGCCTCAGTCTGGTGCCAGAGGGCCTTTATAAGGAGGCTCATCACTTCCTCAAGTTGCTGGATGATCTCTAGCTCCCTGTGCCCTGTTCCTGGTTCCTGTGTTTCTGACCTGTGATTTCCTGTCACCGACTCGGCTTGCTCCTGGACCTGTCTACTCTGCCTTACTCCTGATCTGACCTCGTCTTGGCTTACGGATACTCTCTCTCTCGCTCCTCTGTGTATGACCTCGGCTATCCCATCTGACTATGTCTGCTCTGATTCCCACCTGGTACCTGACCTCGGCTTGAACCGACTACCCAGTAAACATCTAAATCCCAGAAGGGCTTACATACCACGCACAGGCGCCATCTGTCTGCAGGCCTATCTCCGTGCACCAGCTGTGCTTCTGAGTGGACCACCAACCAGCACTCCTACAGGCGACCTGTGCAACTTTGGTCCTGACTTCCGCTGTCCCACTCTCAGGGGAGTCCGGAACTTAGCCGCAAGGGAAGCCCTCTCTCCATTGGCCTCCATCACCAGGTACGTGATAGTTATATAAGAATGTCAGCAACAGGGGTGGACTGACAACTAATGGGGCCCCTGGGCAATAGGGGAACATGGGGCCCCTGTGTCCTTGCCCAAACTCAAAAAAGACTATGAAAAAGGTACCAGGGGCATCTCATGGGGCCCCCTACTGACCCCAGGCCCTCGGGCAGTACCCAAGTTTCCAAATGGTCAGTCTGCCCCTGGTCAGAAATGTATTCATACAGGCTTGTAAAGTTACTGAAACATTTGCTTCAAGCAAACATGCAAAGTAAAACAGTACAAGTATTAGCAGGATGGAAGAAAGAACAAATGGGTTCCAGTACATAAATGCTACATGAATCATCTGCCCTTACTCAAGATGGCCACAGCTAGACATGCCGGGGGGTGTTTTTCAAAGTGACTCTCAACAAAACAAATCATTAAGACACGAATGGGGGAGTTTGCTCTGAATATTAAAAATTAAATCAATAGCTTTTTCAATTTGTGGGGCTCAGATACAGTTTAGTTCCACTTTATTCAATGTGCGTGCATGTATTCATTTTTTTTTTTTTTTTGCAGAAGGTGGAATATGCCTTTCAACCAAAGATGAAGTTTGTAGAACAGAAAACCTAAGGTCATTGGCGGGAATGCCACGTTTCATGACAGGGAAGGTGCTATTAAAAGAGTAGGCAGGAGGATTTGGAATAACCATTTGCCATTCAGAAGATTTACCCCCCCCCCCCCCCCTGACCAGGCCATTTTTTGGTATTCATTGCGCTATTTCAACTGGTAGTTGCACGATCATGCAACGATGTACCCCAACGAAAATAATGTCCTTTTTCACACAAATAGAACTTTCTTTTGGTGGTATTTGATCACCACTGGTTTTTCTTTTATTTTTTTGTGATATAAATGAAAAAAGGCCGAAAATTTTTTAAAAAAGAAAATATATTTTCTACGTTATAAAAATATCCAATAAACTCAAAGTTAGTCATAAATTTAGGCCAAAATGTATTCTGCTCCATGTCTTTGGTAAAAAAAAAACAAAATCCCAATACATGCATATTAACCACTTGCCTACCAGGCACTTATACCCCCTTATTTACCAGGCCAATTTTCAGCTTTCAGCGCTGCCGCACTTTGATTGACAATTGCGCGGTCGTGCAACATTGTACCCATATGAAATTTTGATCATTTTTTTCTCACAAATAGAGCTTTCTTTTGGTGGTATTTAATCGCCACTGGGCGCTTTACTTTTTGCGCTATAAATAAAAAAAGAGCAAAAAATTTGAAAAAAAAAAAAAAAAGTTCTTTGTTTCTATTATAAAATTTTTCAAACAGGTATTTTTTCTCCTTCACTGATGTGCGTTGATGAGGCAGCACTGATGGGCACTGATAGGCGGCACTGATAGGCAGTACTAATGAGGTGGCACGGATAGGCGGCACTGATAGACAGCACTAATGAAGTGTCACGGATAGGCGGCACTAATATGCAGCACTGATAGGCGGCACTGATAGGTGACACTGATGATGGGTACTGATAGACGGCACTGACTGGCATCACTGCTGGGCACTGACTGGCGGCACTGACTGGCACAACCCCTGGGCACTGACTGGTGGCACTGACTGGCAGCACTGCTGGGCTGCACTGGTGGGTGGCACTGGTGGGCAGCACTGGTGGGTGGGCACAGGTGGGTGGCACTGGTGGGCACAGGTGGGTGGGCACAGGTGGGTGGCACTGCTGGGCACAGGTAGGTGGCACTTCTGGGCACAGGTGTGTGTGACACTGCAAAGTGGCACAGGTGGGTGCACTGCTGGGCACAGGTGGGTTATCTGTTGGGCACAGGTGGGCGGAGCTAGTGGGCACACTGCTGGGCACAGGTGGGCGGAACTTGCGGGTGGCACTGCTGGGCACCGATCATCAGTGCCCTGATGATCGGTGCTGATCCTCGCTCTGACAACTGCCGGTTCTCGGCAGTACTTTCCTCACGATCTGACAGCGTTTCCCTCTGATCAGCGTATCATTGGACACCGCTGATCACGTGGTAAAAGGCCTCTGTGATTGGCCTTTTACCACATCACGTGATCAGCTGTGTCCGTAGGACACAGCGATCACGGAGATCGCCGGGTGCACACCCCCTGGGGCGCGCAGGAGAGCGCGTTCTGGGAGGACGTCATTCGGCTATCTGCGGTCGGCTACTAGTTAATTGGGTTGTGTGGAAGTTATAGCGTCTGCAAACTATGGGACAAATACTACAAACCGCTAGCCTACAAAGTGAATGTGATTGCCATGGGTGAAGACTGGATGGAAGGTTGGATTCATTACATCAGACCATGGGTCATATATGGCTTTCATGACTCTGATCCTTACAATAGAAGCCAGCGTCACTACAAGGCAATGTTGCTCCTCAGCCGGCTCTGTGAGCAGGTTGTATCTGAGCTCATGATCATAATTACCACTAATTGTCTGAACTCATTTCCCTGGAGCTCAGCTATTACCTTCATTCCAATGAGATCCCAGTTGCGAGGTTCCCGCATATTGAAAAGTTCTTTTTCCGAACGTGGGTGCTACGCTACATTAAAACTCAGAATGTACTCATTAGTTGCGAACATTTAGGAGGAGCAGAGAAGAGCAGTGTGCTCTCAGACATAATGCAGAGAAGACAATGCCTGCTTATTGGCTAGACCACCAATGTTTAGGGAAGATAAGTCTTTGCGTTTATTTATTTATTTATTACAGGTATTTATTTAAAAAATGAAAAACAATAAAACAGCGCAAATCAACACCCTGACTTAATGAACAACTTAAATATCATACAGTGTAGAAATCATTAAAAATATTAAATAATAATTAAAGTGTCCCCCAAAAAATACTCCATTCATATTAAAGTGTCCAAATAAATATGAGAAAGTTCTTTCTCCCCAATAAATTGTGAAAAACCAAATATCCCAACTAAATTGTGCTTCCACCCTCCACCAGTGAAAAACTAACATCAGCCGCACTCACCAGATAATGGTGAGTAATGTGTCTTTTAGGATGTTTTGGGATCCAAAGCCCCCTTTACAGCCTTCAGGACTCCTTTCCACCTTATAGGATTTAAGGTATTTCTTCCACTGGCTCCTGCCTTCTCCTCTCACCAAACTCCACAGCAGTGCAAGTGTCAGGAATGGACTTGCCAATAATGGTGGGACTCACCTGCCTTGTGGGCTGCAGTACCAGGGCTGGCCAGCGGGTGCTCTCAGCAATCAGAGACTCACCCCTGCAATCAGCCAAACACCTGAAGCTGATTGCAGGGGTTGTATTTAAGGAATGGCAAGACTCACAGTCAGGGCCTTGGTGGGTGGTTTTCCATGGGCCCCTGTACCTTGTTTCCTGTATTCCTGTTCCTGTCTGACTTGTTGCCGACCCTGCCTGATCCTGACCTCTGCTGACTTCTCCTGCTTGATCCCTGGCTTGTGGCCCTGACCATTCTCTGCCTGACCCTCTGTACCGCGCTGCCCATGAGTTACTGTACCCAGCTTGTGACCCAGACCACTCTCCTGCCTGTTCCTGGTACTCAGTTTGCCCGTTTGCTACTGACCCGGCCTGTCTGACTACTCTTTGCATTGTATGTATTGTTATCTGTGGGTGGTTTGGTTTGTTTGCACTGTGTTTATGTTTAGTTTTGCACTGCATTTTGTATTGTTAGTCTTAATAAATTATATTGTTTTTATACCATATCTGTAGCCTGCGTTTCCCTGTGTCAGTCCACACACTTCTGGTCATACCTGGCGCCCTGACAGCAAGGGAAAAAATATATAATAGTATCATATTGCTAATACCTTGTGCAATATTAGGTAAATTGCCAGACCACTAACATTTAGCAGGATAAATAAAAGCATCAATTTTATTGCCTCCATAGGCTACCATAGATTCGACAGCTTCCACACCTCATAGCAGAGACCTCACAGCCTGGTTCAACAAAGGATGACAGGATACAGCTCCAACAATACTAAAGATGGCCACTTGGAACACACCGCTCGGCGTGCATTCCACTCACCGGAAGTGATTCAGGACGGCAGACCGGAAGTGCGTCGACGCGTTTCGCCCCACCCACAGGGTGTTCTCAAGACCAATCTATGGTAGCTTATGGAGGCAATAAAATTGATGCTTTTATTTATCCTGTTAAATGTGAGTGGTCTGACAATTTTTACCTAATATTGCACAAGGTATTAGCAGTATTACACTATTATATATTTTTTCCCTTGCACTGCTGTGGAGTTTGGTGAGAGGAGAAGGCAGGAGCAAGTGGAAGAAATACCTTAAATCCTACAGTGGGGATCGAAAGTTTGGGCACCCCAGCTAAAAATTTGTATTAATGTGCATAAAGAAGCCAAGGAAAGATGGAAAAATCTCCAAAAGGCATCAAATTACAGATTAGACATTCTTATAATATGTCAACAAAAGTTAGATTTTATTTCCATCATTTACACTTTCAAAATAACAGAAAACAAAAAAATGGCGTCTGCAAAAGTTTGGACACCCTGCAGAATTTATAGCATGCACTGCCCCCTTTGCCAAGCTGCCAGTGTCATGGATTGTTCTCAATCATCGTCTGGGAAGACCAGGTGATGTCAATCTCAAAGGTTTTAAATGCCCCGACTCATCTGACCTTGCCCCAACAATCAGCACCATGGGTTCTTCTAAGCAGTTGTCTAGAAAACTGAAACTGAAAATAGTTGACGCTCACAAAGCTGGAGAAGGCTATAAGAAGATAGCAAAGCATTTTCAGATGTCAATATCCTCTGTTCGGAATGTCATTAAGGAATGGCAGTCATCAGGAACAGTGGACATTAAAGCAAGATCTGGAAGACCAAGAAAACACACAGAACAGCTCGCAGGATTGTGAGAAAAACAATTCAAAACCCACGTTTGACTGCACGATCCCTCCAGAAAGATCTGGCAGACACTGGAGTTGTGGTACACTATTCCACTATAAAGAGATACTTGTACAAATATGGTCTTCATGGAAGAGTCATCAGAAGAAAACCTCTTCTACGTTCTCACCACAAAAATCATCGTTTGAACTTTGCAAATGAACATATAGACAAGCCTGATGTATTTTGGAAACAAGTTCTGTGGACCGATGAGGTTAAAATTGAACTTTTTGGCC